TTCGGGGTTTGTGTAGAATCAACAAGCGCCGCGAAGAAAGACACAACTTGTTTGTGATCTGCGCGTACGCTCCAAATGACTGCAGTGATGGCTCGGCCAAGGACAACTTCTACCGGGATCTACATCAGCTCTTGACTGATGCTAAAAAGTGGGATGTCGTTGTCCTTGCTGGGGACTTTAATGCACGGATTGGCCGACTGTTACCATACGAACGCCACCTTGGTGGTCACCACGCGCTCGAGGAGAACCGCTCTGATAAAAGAGAGAGGCTTCTCACATTGTGCGAAGACAACCATCTGTTTCTCTCGAGCGCCAACTTCAGGCGTACGAAGAAGCATTCCGCAACGTGGCGTCCTCTTTCGCCAACACAACCGTGGTCTCAAATTGATCACATTGCAATTAGCTTCAGATGGCGTGGCAGCGTACTGGACTGCAGGTCCTTTTGGTCCACCTTCGTTGACTCAGATCATGCTCTGGTCTGCGCGAAAATCTGTATGTGTTTTGGAGGGTCCCGAAACACGAAGCACCGCAAGATTGATGTAAACAGATTAACTGATTCCTCTGTCCAGGCGAGCTATCAGTCTTCACTGGCATACGCACTCAGTTACAGTCCACTACAAGACGTAGAGCAACACTGGACTTGTATACAGAAAGCGATGACCATTTCCGGACAGTCAAGCTGCGGCCTAGCTCGACGCCCCTTGAAGGCTTGGATCTCTGCTCGTTCTCTGGAGCTGTTCGAACGCCGCAAAGATATCTCGGCGGAATCAGATTGCAACGAGCGGCGCCGTTCTGCCAACCGCTGCTCAAGCAAAGCCTACGCAAGGATCGCGAGACATGGTGGTCTGAGCGTGCTTTAGAGATGGAGACCGCTGCCCTCTCTGGCAACACTCGTAGGCTTTTCCAACTCATTCGGTCCACTGGCCTCAGGAAGCCTGGTGTCAGTGAGGTCATTTGTGAGGTGGATGAGTCTCCGATCACCAACCAACAGAGGCGTATGGATCGCTGGGCCGAGCACTTTCACTCGCAGTTCAACTGGCCTCCACCGTCCATCAGTACATGCAGTATACCTTGTTGTCCACCCTGGCTCGTCCCACTGAATCCATCCAGCGAAGCGGAAGTCTGCCTCGAGATTCGACGCTTGAAGCGGTTCAAGGCTGCCGACTCAGACGGACTTCCTCCGGAGCTGTTCAGATACGGCGGCGTGGCGATCATTAACCAGCTGACCGCGCTGTTCGCAAAATTTGGCATGAAGAGAAAGTGCCTTCCTCTTGGGGCGAATCAGTTATTGTCCCGATTTTCAAGAAAGGCGCTCGCACTTCATGTGTAAATCATCGCGGGATTAGTCTTATTTCGGTTGCCTCCAAGCTATTGGCATCCATTCTGCTCCGTAGACTATCCCCAATACGTGAATCATCCTACCGTGAAGAACAAGCTGGTTTCCGTCCCGGCCGCAGATGCGTGGATCAAATCTTCACGCTCCGCCAACTCCTCGAACATCGCCACATTTATCACAGGCCCACTATCGTTGCATTCTAGACATACGTGCGCTTTGACTCCGTTGATCGATCTGCTTTATGGCGTTGCTTGCTAGAGAACCGGGTGCCAAAGAAAGTATATCGCCATCTTACGTGCACTTTGACTTCATACCTCCGGCAGAGTGAGGGTCTATGGCAAGATTCCCTCGCGATTCGCTGTCAATAGCGGTGTGCGACAGGCTGCCCTATATCCCCATTCCTCTCCAACTTCGCAATCGAAGACGTTCTGGCGAGTGCTCTAGAAGGTTTCTAACATTTCGGCCTAGAGCTTCTAGGGTGAGCGTGCAACCGATTTAGATTATGTTGATGATATCGCTTTACTTGGTATGCAACTCATTTTGGATAGTTTGGCGGTTGAAGCATCTAACTATGACATGAGGTTTGCCCCATCGAAGTGTAAAGTGCTGCTCCAAGCCTACATCTGCTCCTGTGCTCAATCTAGAAGGTGCACAAGTTGAACAGGTAGATAGTTTCGTCTGCCTTAGGAGCCGTTTTTGCTAAGGCACTATCAACAAGGAAGTTTCTCTTCGCATCGCTAAAGCCCGATAAGCATTTGTCAATCTGAGGCACTTGCGGCGTCATCGCTATGTCTCATTCACGGTAAAGGGCCGCGTTTATAGCGCATGTTCATTCAGTATTGAGGTGCGGCAGCGAATCCTGGTCAATTCGCGTGGAAGACATGCATCGTCTTTCCGCCATCAACCACGGTTACTTAAAGAAAAGCGCCTGTGTTCGGTGGCAACACCGATTTAACAGTAATGACCTTCGACATCGCACCCTGGAGAATACCAATATCCCTCTCAAGAAACTGGTTTTGCTGCGTCAGCTGAGATGACTCGGTCACGTCGTACGCATGGCATCTGAGAGTTTACCGCGTCGCGCTCTATTCGCTCATCAAGGACCTGGCTGGAAGCGAGCAAGTGGTGGTAAGCATTGTCACTGTTGGACCCGTACGTCTTCCAGGATGGGGACCCGAAGATGAGTGCCAATGGCTTACCACTCTTGAAGACATGGCCCGAAACCGGAATCCGTGGAAGAATCGTGTACCGAATTGTATTGATCCACATGTTTAATACTTCGAACATTTAAAATGACAAAAAAGAGAAAAATCGGCGTGTGAAAGCAGACTAAGAATGTTGTTCTATTTTTTGTGGAAATGTTCCTTCCCTCCTGCGGCATAGTAGTTGAAGTGTGTTGCTCACCTTCAACTAACATGCCACGATGATTATGACGAGAAGATTCTGCCCCTTGGCTGCTAATCTCAATGGCTTTGTTGGCTCTATGTCTAGTTGTTACTGTTGGGATTATATACATACATACATGGCCAATACACTCGACGGAGAAGCGTATTGTGGAAATAAATTCTTCGTAGCTGGCTCTGCTGACGATTATGAAGTACAAAAAGCAGAGGGATCTATGCAACAACACAATGGCGTCGGCAGTTTGAAGAGGAGCTTGCAACTTCAACGAAGACGGCCTGCAAAAAGATTTGTGCTTAGGTGAAGCGCCGCCTGAGGTCCACAAGTGACGTAGCTGTGCTAGAGGGCACTGACGGAGTCTCTGACCTCCAGCACTGAATTTGTGTCCCCATGGGCGGAACACTGCGCTTCTGTATTTAAAAGTGGGCATGCATCTAGGCTGATCTCGACGTGTGAAGCCCAGTGAAGTTGAGGGCCTTGATTGCGGTGTAGATGTCCGCAGTCTACTCGCCAGTCTTGACGGTACAAAACCTGTCGGACCAGATGGACTTCACCCGCTAATTTTGAAGTTCTATCGGCCATCATCTCGTCTGTTTAACAGATCGCTGTCCGAGGGTGTATTGCCGAGCGAATGGAAATGCTCGGTAGTGAAGCCAATTCCAAAAGGCGGTGACCTACGCAATGTGGACAATTACCGGCCGATTTGTCTCACCTCTGTTCCGGCGAAGGTTCTCGAGAAGGGTCTCTTCCAGGTACTGGAGAAGTAAGATTGCCTAACGCCGGCACAGCACGGCTTCAGGATGGGCCGCTGGAGCATCAATGACCTGTTGTTGACATGGCAGGAATGGCTACAAGCGTTGAATCTGAGGAATTCAGTGGATGCCATATGCATTGATTTCAGTAAGGCTTTCGATAAAGTAAAAAATGAGGTCCCGCTCCACAAACAGAAGATATGTGGTGTTGGTGGCGTATTGCACCAGTGGATCAGTGGTTTCCTTATTGAGAGATGGCGGGTTCAGATGGATGACCACCTAACGGAATGGTACCCGTCCACTAGCGGCGTACCCCAAGACACAGTACTGGAGCCCGTTTTATTCTTGATCCACATCAACTAAGTAACTCAGCTTCTTCGGTCGCCTTGTGCATTATTTGCGGACAATATGAAGATTTGGAGGATTATTTATCCTTCTGATGACTGTGACGTCCTTCAGCAGGATCTCGACCGCCTATCCCGGTCAACTCGGCCAAGTTCTCGTTTATGAGACTGGGGAGGGGTGATAATGAGCCGACCACCTGTTTCATCTCACCAGTTCCGTAAAGGATCTAGGCGTACTCTCGCGCTGTGATCTGAAGTCTGTCGGTAAAGGGAACAGACGGTACTTAAACGGACTACGCCTGCTTTAGGCACTTGGACGCAGCTTTTGAACTTGGTCTGAAGAGATCACCACCCGTTTGTTCTCCTTTATAATAAGAACGTTGCTTGAGCACGCTCACCCGCCTAGTGTCCGATCACAATAGGTGAGGTGCAGAAACTGGAACGGGTCCATCATGTAGCTACCTGGCTCATCCCCAGTTTACGGTGTGGTAGGAGAACCGGTGTAGTTAAGGGCTTTATACTCTGTCAAATCATTGGCTTCGAGTTGAGCTCATTATGACGCACCGGATAGTGCACCTAGGTCACTTCCCTATGTTGAAGAAACTGCTGCACCTTTGCAGCACACGCGGATACCGGTACAAAATAGTGGTACCGGATCTAAAGCACATCGCTCACCCTCCATGCTTCGAGCGTCAAGTGGTGAAATATTGGAACAAATTGCCGGACACTAGCAGAGGCGAAATCAGTGTCGGAATTTAAGATATTCGTTGAGGTCCACTTTGCGGACTACTGGTATAGGGAGTGTATCGCTCCCGGATAAGGTGTAGTGCAGCTGCAATATGCTGCCACCGCGCAGGAATCAGCGACGTGGTTCCGCGCATGTGCCCAATCCACCTAAGATGGAGCAACACAGGTTTTTATCTTCTTGCACTCTATTCTCAATATTCAGTATTCACAATAAGTATCAGACAAGAAAGTTATATGAAAAGTAATTAAGAACATCAAAATAAGCAAATAAACAAAATATCCCAGCTGAAATTGTAAGGTGAACTAAGTAGAGGCCCAAGCGTGGAACTAAAGCGAGCGGATACACTAGATCTCGGATGACACTGAGTTGGAAAACATCTATTTGAGGGACACGGACAAAAACGGGGAAACGAGACGTACTTAGCGCCATATGACTTTGATTCAATCCCGCACAGTGTGTCCTGTAGCGAATTGATAAGTATGCGACAACGATCATCGTTAGCTATCTTTGATTGTTTGATCAGGGATATCGCAGTGACCAGAGTTTCAATAGCACTGGCGTAATCTCCACTTGCCGCGTCTTGGACGGCCCTGTTGATGGCACTGGACGACACTGTCTTGTTCCGCTGCAAGATATCTTCAAATTCCGATTCTGTAAGTTTTCCGGTGGAAGCTGAGAGGAAAAATTGGAGACAAATTTTGGATTGCGGTCACGGACGACGGAGAAATGGGATGGTTAGAGCAGTATTATTGGCATAAGGTGAGCTATTAAAGTGATGCGAAAACCAGAAGTGTCTAGAACGCTACACGATACTCACAGGGGGTGTAAGTGTGAATGACTGGCCGTCCGTAAGTATCAAAATGCGACCCAACGGATGAGCCTGAAGCGCCAAAATTCATGAGGGCAGCAGGAGCAGGGACGGGTGTTGGGAGTGTTCCACTTGGAATCGGAAGCGGCTGGGTCATGAAGTTGGGATTCACATGAGCCGTTCCAGTTGGTAATGTCGTAGGAAGGCTGTTAGATAAGTTGAATGTAGTAGAAAGTAGCGAAGACGCATTGCCAGGGAGCGGGGGTGGGGGCACAGAGGGTGCCATTAAAACACTGGTAGCAACCGGCAAATGTAAGGCTAACTGATTTATCTGGGAACTAGCTGAAAGTCCCGACTGTAGAGTATGTGTAGCGAAAGCTTGCTGCAAACTGTTAGGCAACTGGTTGGCAATTTGGCGGAGGCTAGGGGTGGCTTGACCCATCAAAGAGCTGTTATTACGCAGACTGAAGCCCAAGGAAGCTGGCATTGTTGGATTCGCCATTAGAGGAGGAACTTTACTAGCGGAAGTGGAGGAGCTGCCTAGAGGCAAATGTGAGAAACATAAAGTCGATTACCAGATAAACCAGAATTTTTGCCTGTTGATTCATCGGAACGTCCGCGGTTAGTCGCCGGCGTCTCACCGCCAGCGGCCTTTTCAAACATACTAAGATTGTATTTCGTACAATGGGTTACAACAGGCGCTTGACCATGTATCTCGGTTTTGGGAAGCTTATCCATGGCGATACGTGCTGTCTGGTCCGATCCGAACACAACGACGCAAAATCTGAAAAGATGAATTGTGTCCCCTAACATACCCTTTTGACTGACCATTCTGCCTGTTTTCATGGAACTTAATTTCTACTACGTCATTGATTCCGATCGCATTAGTAGCATCTAATAAATCTTGATCAGTTGTCCACTAAATATGAATAAGAATTGAATAGTGAATATCCTACCCATGTAAGGTTGCCAATATAGGTAGCAACTCGTCTTCCGCTACCGGCATTAAGAGAGGAAAGCTGGGGTTTAGAGGACTAAGGAAAGTTAGGCACACTGAATAATTACTGAGTCGGTTTGCGAGGTTGGAGCAGCGGAGTCAGATGGCGCAGCGACATCATCATACAATTCCATCATATCTGAACATTCCTAGGAGAGTAAATAAGAGGTACTAATCAGCAAAACCTGGACGAAATCCTCATCAATATTGTCATAGAGATCAATTTCCGCAGCAACATCGCCCGCCATCGCCGCACAGGTAACTACAATAGGTAAGGAAACCAAAGTGAGGTGACAAAACAAATGGCTGCATTTCATGCACATAGTGCAATTAAAGCTATTTGTGGCTTATAGCGTATTTTATGTTCGCTTTCAGTTAACAGAATGGATTATCTTACAGAATATAAACAGTCTAAACTATACAACTGCATTTGTGACCAGAAATTTGAAGCGACCATTCCTATCTGAACATCAGAAATTCATATAGCACCCTGGACAAACGAAAAAGTAGCTGCTATTTAAAATGAGATATAACGAAACACATAAGTGCCCCAACAATACCTGTTCAATGCTGAGTAGTCAAAGGGCGGGGCCTTCGAAGTTTTTGGTTCAGTTCAGTTCAGATGGGACTGTAACGATAGGAGAATCCTGTGGGTGTTCCATCTTGAGTGGATCGTTGAGCCATGAATTGATGAAGTGCTCAGTTATTGATGTATCTAAAACGGAACTCCCGTATCGCGCCCTGGCCAACCAGTTAATGCTCACGTTTCCTGCCCTAGCAGTCCATGCTGTGGCAGTCAAGTGAAGTAAGCAAAGGATAGGAAGAGAACCCGAAAGTACAGAATAAGGAAGTGCGCTGGTTCAAGTTCAACTTCAAGTAGGGCTGGAACAGTAGGATAACTTCCCGTGCATGTTCTATCCGTGGCGAGTCGCTGATCCGGGGTATTATTTATTTGCGATAACTGGAGTCTAGATGAGTCAGATCAGCACGCGCGAATCACACCATGGTCAACTAATAAATACCTACTCGATCTGCATTGGCAGTCACCGCCGCACCGGAAGGGTGGAACAAAAACGAAGTACGAACGTACTAAGAGCGTCAAGAACCAATATGTAAGATATAATAATGAAACAAGGCTTTAAGCTAAGTGGTGAAGGGTAAACAGAGGTACTTGTAGTAGAGGACCTGATTCTCACTTATCGTAATTTGACGGGTAAGGTTTGCCCGGACTTGTCAGGGCTATTTATTCCGGCTACGTTACCTAATCTCTGCGTCATCCACTGAAACTGCATAAACTACGGTCTGATAGGATTAGGACGGAAATTCGTCTGTCGCGCCGAGTTATAGATCGCTGGAGTTCGCTTCCAGTTCACGTGGTTAAGGAATCTACGGTTAAGGGTTTTGCGCGCCAGCTCGATGCTTTTTGGTGGCAACAGCAAACTCTTCCTTTTTCCTAGCTGACTCACCTTCACATTTCAGTTTTTTTATTGACTCTTTCCATTTTCTCTTTTTCCTTCTGTGTTTACTTTTTTCTCTTTCTTACTTCACGTAACCCGCCCAGCAGCGACTGCTAGGGCAGGATAAGTGGACATTAACTGGTTGGACAGGGTGTGATGCGGTCTTTGTTTGAGGTACATGAGTATTTCAAAGTTCGCCAACTCCTTGTTCAACGACCTGCGGAAGAAGGAACACTCAGGGGATAATCCTATCGTTCCCGTCCCGCTTGAGCCTGAACTTGAACTTGTACCGGAAAACAAACTCTTTCATTATTTTGCAAAATGGGACTTTACGGTTGTTTTAACCTGCATAACCGGAACGTCCTATCCGCCACTTGGAAATAATGTGTTTTCGGCAGTGTGATTCCGGTACACACGGTTGTAGACTTTAGGTGGATGCTCCTGTTTCTTGGACAATTTACCATACATTCTCCCACTTCCTTCTTTTTCCGATACATACAGTGGACTTCCATAAACCAATTTTTATATTCCGTTTCCTGCTTAACAACTTACTGTTATATTTCAACTTTTCCACTTTATTCAACTTCGCAATTAGGCATGGTACAGAGCAGCTTTTTGGATGTTTACAGGTACTGACCTTTTTACAAACACGTTGCTTAAGTACCCAATAAAACCCTTACTTTTTGTGATCGCAGAAACACGTTGTCCTGATGAACAACAGCGCGCATTCAAAATCGCGCCAATGGCGGATAGAACGGTCCCCTTCATAACGTCCATTTATTTTACTGACTGCACATCCGTGGACACCAACCGTTCTGGTGAGTACCTGGCTGCACGCTTCTCGCTCTGGCTGAATCGCTTCCTATTTTTGTAGCCTGCCCAACATACGTTGGGTTCAGTCGTCGCCGACTTCTATACTGTCTAGTATTTGACACGTCTGACGCGTCATTGCTTACCGACTAGTATCCCAGGCTCTGCCCAACAATTGGTGACCCCTGTCAGGAACACGCCGCCGGCCATTGTGAAGTTTCATTCTGGTGAGCTCGTTCCAGTGATTCTGTGACTCATTGCTTGTGATCATATTGTTTTCTCACCTACCACATTTGGATCCTTTTTGCAATGGATTAAGTACAGCATAAGCCGTCTCCATGCGCGGTTAACGCCTTTGCGCCTGTCGTGATCATTCCGTTGCGTTAGCCTCTTCATGTTTTGGGAGAATGATCCTCCATTATGGTTTTTGCACCTAAACTCTGTTTTTATATTCGTAGGATTTTTTCTGATTTCCCCATGTGTAATCAGCTAATAGCGCGTCTTCCTCAGATTATATCCTCGAAGGTGAGAGACATCGTATTTTGCCCCCTAGAAATGAAATACGCGACTATTAAACAGGCTAGTATTCAGCGTATCACGTCTTTTGAAAAAGTCCGGCTGCAGCAACGGTTTAGTGATATGCAACCAGGAGATAGCAAGCCCTCAGCCTTGTTGCGCGAAGTGCAACTGCTCATCGGCACGTCCAACTTGGAGTTAGGGATTCTCCGCGAGCTGTAGATGCCACGCCTTCCTGAAAGCACTCAGTTTATCCTTGCAGTAGCAAGTGACTTGCCACTCACAGCAATTGCAAATCTAGTAGACCGCGTCACCGAAGGGCACCGGTCAGAGCTGAAACCAAAGCACCTAAGTAGCTATCTGCTGGCGCAACGTCACCGACACGAGCGACTAACCAGCCGTCAGCAATAGACGCATTATCATCCCAGAGAGCGTTTCTTCAGCGCCAAACCGAGGAACTCACTTTAAACCGCAAGCACCGCAGCCGCTCTGGATCATCGCCCCGTCGCAAAAAACCTGATGCTCCAGGTTACTGCTTTTACCACTCGCGTTTCGCTAATAAAGCCTGTACGTGTGTACAGTCATGCACCTACTCCGCTACAGATGGCCTGCCAGGCCGGGCCGTAATGGCGACTAACGGTGTTGGCAAAGCCCAAAGGCGTCTCATTTATGTTAGTGATTACGACTCCGAGACCCAGTTCGTAGTTGATATCGGGGCGGAAGTCAGCGTCATTCCCCCTATACCAGATGAACCTCAAGCTTCTTTGTCGACAAGCCTCAGTGCCGGCGATGGCACGCCAATAGCCAACTACGGTCATCGATCGCTTACGCTGGACCTAGGTCTTCGGCGCACGTTCCGCTGGGTAAGCACCGTTGCTGCAGTCTCCTTTGCCATCATCGGCATTGACTTTCTTAGGCGTTTCAACCTCTTGGTCGATGCGAAAGGCTAAACGCTAATCGACACTGCAACGAAACTCAGTGTACGTGACAGCACCGCCGATAGCGCATCTACATCCCTGTCCATGCATTTCCCCAGAACTCGCCAGATTACGCCAATCTCTTTTCTCAGTATTCCAAGCTCGTTCAGCCACTGAACGCAGCTTTGCCCGCGGCAGCTCAAGCCACGCACCACATACGGACGAATGGTCCACCTGTGTCAAGCCATCCACGCCGACTATCGCCCGAGAAACTAAAGGTAGCTAGGGCGGGATTTGAGCACGTGCTTGATCTTGGAATACTCCGCCCTTCCGACAGCCGTTGGTCTTTGTCCGTGTAGATAGTCTCCAAGAAATAAGGGGACTGGCGCCCTTGCGGTGCTTACCGAGTACTCAATCGCCTAACCTTCCCAGATAGGTATCCCATCCCACACATGCAGGACCTTACCGCATGCCTCACAGGTAAGACGATCTTCAGCAAGATAGATCTGTCTCGTGCCTATCACCAGATACCTGTGGAAGACAATGACATTCCCAAAACAGCCGTCATCACTCCTTTCGTTTTCATTGCCTTTTTAAGTATGCCATTTGGACTGTGCAACGCCGTACAAACCTTCCAACGCCTCATCCACGATGTCTGCATTGGCCTGGACTAGTCTATTCCTACGCCGATGATATTTTAATCGCCAGTTCATCGGAACAAGAGCACCTCGAGCATCTTCGAACGCTTTTCCAGCGCTTGACCCAACACGGTGTCACAGTCAACCCGACTAAGTGCGAACTCGGGAAATCAACGGCAGAAGTTCTAGGCCACTTCGTCTTATCGTCCGGTATTCAAGTCCTTCCTTATAAGCTCCAGGCAATCTAGGACTTCTAGGCTCCGACTTCGTTCAACCATCTCCGTCGATCTTGTTGTTTGGTCAACCACTATCGACGGTTTATTCTGCTCTGCGCGCAGCTCATGCAGCCTCTGACCGATCTATTCAGAGGGAATGAAGGTAAGTTCGAATTCCCTGACACAGCACAGGCAGCCCTCGCCGAGCTCAAGGATGCTATTTCCAACATAGCCCTCCTCGCTCATTCCGAATCGACTGCACCCCAGTATATTACGACTGGTGCCTCAGATGTCGCGGTAGGAGCCGTCTTCCAACAACACGTTGGTGGGAGGGGGCAAACCCTTGGGTTCTTCTCCAAGCGCCTGCAGCCAGCGAAATCCCGCTACAGCACGTTTGGCAGAAAACTGCTAGCCATTTATCTAGCGATTCCTCACTTCCGGCACACACTCGAAGGCCGCGCTTTCACGGTTTACACTGACCCCAAGCATCTCACCTTCGCCTTCAACTCTGCTTGCAACAAATACTCACCACGGAAAACAAGGCACCTAGACTTTTTCACGCAGTGCACTGCTGACATACGTCATGTCTCTTGTGTCGATAATCCCTTCGCTGACGCTCTCTTACGCGTCAACGTCGTGCTCCAGTCTTTCCTTACAGTCGACCGGTCCGCCATGGCAGCGGTTCAGGCTCATGACGAAGACATACAGCGCAC